GTCCTAAGTATGACTTATTTATCTATCATAGACATTTTTTAAATATTTGGTTAGAACTACAATCCTAAAAATATACTTTATAATAATTTAATACTAATAAAAACATAAAAATAAATATGTTAAATTGTATAAAAATCAAGTTTAATTTATTTATAATATAAACATGTTTTTAATATCTAATATAATATTTTAGATAATAATTTATTTCAAACATATTTTATAATAAAATTTTTAAATAGAATATAAATTTTTCAATCTTTTCCATTTTGATTTTTTTAATTAACGTATAGAATCTTACAATTTTTACTATTTTAATTTTTTAATCAATGTATACATAAATAAAAAGAACAAAAGGTAAATATATATATTACAAATTTTATTTTATCAAAAATTAAACTTTTAAAAAAATTTAATTCGTTATTAAAGAGTATTTTTTATTTCATAAGAGAACTAATCTCCTTTAAAAATTTGGTAAATATCAAATAAATGAACAAATTTTTTAAATTTATATTTTATAATACGATAATTTAAATATATATGTTTTTTTAATTAAAATATAATTTTTATTTTTAAAAATATATTTTTTTGGGATAAAAAAATATGTGTGTGTAAAATGGTAGTGTGGGCAAGTGCCCTCACTCTCTTCTTCGTGGATCCGTGCCTGGTTTTATGTATAGAAATTAAAGATGACATGGTGGGTTGTATGGTTTGTTGTTGTTGTTTGACTCTGTGTATGACTACATATATATAGAAATAACATTATTTTTAATTATAATGTCCCAAATACTGAATATGTACTTGAATCGATAAAATTTAGATTTTTGCTTGGTTATTCACCATAGATGGTTTGATTGTAAAAGGCATTTTCTTTTTAGTTTATGAGTGTACGTCTAATATTAATAATCCCTTATATAGAATGTTAATTGTTTGAAGGGGCTGTAGGCAACATTATATTTTTTGCTGTAAAGGACTACTGTATACAAGTTGTATGAACTACGAAGGTTGGTAGGTTTATATTGTGCTGGAATTATATTGGGTAGGTTTAGTTTCACTTATTATAAGGGCTGGGGTGCCCTATAACTTTTATATATATAATATAATTTTCTTTGTCTGACAAAAAAAATGCTTATATATGTAGGAATGGTTCTAAGAGTTGACATAATATAGTCATTAAAAAAATAGTTATTATCAACGTATCTTTCCAATAGCCATGAGGCCGTCGATATGATTTAGATTTATGGAAGGTGAAATCTTTGGCAGGTAATGTCAACAATAGCTACTTCAGATATGAAAAAGGACTCAGGCATGAGATTTTATGTTCGAAATCTTCTTGTCCGTTATGTATAATTTTTTTTTTTTAATGAATATAAAAAACAATAAACATCTCGGTAATTTTCAATTTACACAAAATAACGTTCATAACAATCTGTTATTATAAGTAAGAATTTATCAAGAAGCAAATTGTCTGTATGTACTGGTCGAAATCATCGATAATATATATAAGACATTTCGTACGTGTATATCTCACATAATAATAATAACAAAGGTGTGTAAACTAATTTTAATTCCCAAACTTTTTGCCTGCATGTTTCTTATTAGTAGCTAGCATGCAATGATATGATGTGAGTCGAAACAACTTTGCTTGACCACCAGCTTTGGTAATAATTAGTTTTGCCCTTTCATGCTTGGTCGATTTAAATAATATGTGCATGGTGTATAAGCTTAACTTTCACCTGAATCCACCTCCGGGTTCATACCAAGAACAACATAAAACAAATTTTTGTTTACTTGAAATTGCAGAAAAAAAATCATATGTAGTTGCCAATATCTTATTTGACAGGATGATTATGTCAAAAGCATAATAAGAAACATTGCATTGGCTCTAATAAGAAGGCAGAATTTGGACAGACTAATAATAAGCTTGCATTTAATAATACTGTTGACAAGCTTTTGGATAACATCAAGCTGTATATAACATATGTGTCGTATTATTTTTATGCTCAAACTATATATAATTGAGTCACAGCCTCGGGGTCAACGGGAAGTATGCTTTTGACCCAAGAAATATAAGATTCTTTTTATATATCAATGTCAATAATGGAAAAATATGATTCTTGATGGTACCCCTTTTCGCAATTATGTTCTGAATTCCGATTTTAGGAAAATTGTTAATTACATTCCTCACATTCTCACATGTGCATCTCTCACATTTGTTTACATGGTAGAATCAATGTACAAATGGCAAACAAATGAGGTTAACTTTTGTTAAAGTGAACCAGTAGTAATGAAGGAGTAAGTGTCACTAATTAATATATATATATATATATATATAAATTATCA